CTAAGATCTGGCACTCCCTTCCAAGAGCAGAAGGAACAGAAAAGTCTCCCTGCTCAGATAGCCAGCAACCTTCCTCTAGTTCCCATCTGAAATTATTAATGGCCTGTTTACTTGGTCCTGGACCAATACTGCCCTTATGCTTAAATATCAAGGAAGGGGAAGAGTCATGCACTTCTGGCGCACTCCAAGACATCAATCACAGTAACTCTTGGCCTTCTGGTAAACTAAACAAGCCAGATTCGGTGGGTCCTCTCCAGGCCAGGCTCCCCATTCATTCCCTGCACCTGTTCTGGCTTCAACTCCTCTGTATGACCTACTCTCATGATACATCCAGGAAATCTTACTAGTGCCTTGGACAAGAGCGTTCATACCCTCTTTTCTCTTCCATTATCCGGCCTGTTTGCACATACTACATTGCCTTATTCCCAGCCTCATTATGTCAGCATTCTGGTCACCCTGGCCAACCCCCTTCATTTAACAAGCTTGCAATTACAGCAGGAGTATTTTATTCTGCAAGTGCATGATTTTGCAGTTTCTCTGTTGAAACTCATCTTCCGTTTCTCTTACTGTAGCCTTCAAGGACACCCAGTTCTCCTGTGTATCTTCAGCCTCCCAACTTCACATCATCATCAGGGTTTTTAGTGTACTCTTCGTGCCAGAATTGCTTATAAAAGCACTAAACAAGATTAGTACTAAGAAACATTCTCAAGAAACATCACTAGTAACTTCCTGCTATTATGTTTCTATCCACCACATCACTGTTTACTTTCTCTTAAGTAGCCCATTCAATAGCCTGTGAATCTGTTCTTCTTTTCTAGCTTTCTTGATGATTTTCCCAAATGGTACTGCATGAAATTCTTTATGGTCTGGATAGATCAAATCTACCACATTCAAGTCACCTTTACACAAAATACTCCAACAAGCTACATGAGCAAACCTCAAGATCAAGAGCACAATTCGATCAGCTCTGCTAGAGGCGAGTGAAGGACACTCGTATGATCCACAGGAACAGGCAGAATCCACTGCACCATTCCACATTTGTTCCATGTTTACAGAGTTCTTTATGTAAATATTTCAGTCATACTAAAATATGCCGAATTTGTGACTATCAAGACAGATTCTTCTAAAACAAGCAGACAAAACCAAACCTTGGCAGTTGCTTCCTAGTGTTGGGAGGCCCAGGGGAACAGGGTGCAGCAGCAACGTTGCCCTCGGAGAGTTGGAGGCCGCAGCAGTCAGTGGGACAAGAGCAGTGTCTTAGGGGAAGGAGCAGACCCCTTGTGACCAAAGAGAATGGCAGCTGCAGCAGCACCCTCCTGAAGGCAACAAAACTGCCTTTCCAAAGACAGGTAAGTTTACAAAAGACTGAAAACTCCCCTCCAAGGGTATTTGACAGCAACCTAAGGCTAATGTCAGCTTCTCTCCGTTTTTT